TTAGTTGCCAAAACCAATCAGGAATTTCATCTGAAATGGCTGCTTCCGCGAGGATTAGAGACTCCAGTTCCTTCTGGGTTTGGAGCCATGCGGGAAACTCTGGACCTATTCGACAATTACTGATGGAGATAGATTTCAGGCTAAAAGGAGGAACCCACTTCTTCGGTCCCACATCAAATTCCAAGGACGTGTTTCCAGATGATATGGTAAAGTATTTCAAGGCTTTTAGGCGGAGGAAATGAGTCTCAGATAAGACACCTCCCCAATAATTACCGTCAAGAAACAATCTCACCAACTTACTTAGTTGTCCAATACTTTCAGGAACAAATCCATCTAAGTTGTTGGCAGAGACGTCTAATTCCTCCAAACATGACAAGTTCCCAATAGATGCTGGAAGTGAACCTGAGAAAGAATTATTGCTGACTAGGAGACTTCGCAAATGTTTAAGATGTCGCAAGGTCTCAGGTATTTGTCCGCCTACATTATTGGAATACAAGTACAACATTTCCAAAGCAATGTTGCCACATTTCGATAAACCATCGACAAAGCTGTTCAATTTACCATTAATCTTATTTACCGATAGATCTAAAACCCGCAAGTTACAAAGATGTCTCCAATCAATGTCACTCAAAGAGTCGTTGATTCCATTGTACCCCAAGTTTAGGCTTACAAGGGTACTCATGTTAAACAACCAACGAGGTATTGATGAGCCGAAATTATTTTGTTGAAGGTTGATGACCAGAATGGAACTGAAGTTAACAACTGGAAGAGAAAGGGGCAAGTTTTTGAGGTCGCAGCTAGGGAAATGCAACTCCTCCAGAGAAGGAAGCTTATTAACAGCTTGCAACCAAGTGGTCGATGCCAAACTCAGGTTCACGTAGCCTAGATTTAGGAACTTCAATGAAGAAATTTTGGATATCCAATTCAAATCAGAAACCCAAATGGTTGGGGGATAATTGTCAAAACCTGAAGATGCTTGAAGATCAAGAAAACGCAAGTTTGAGAGATTTCCAAGATGAGGGGGAATCAATCCAACAAAGGAGGACAGAGAGAGATTAAGGTAAGTCAACTTCTCGAGTGAACCGATGAACTTTGGTATTGAAGTGTTTTCAAAATTGTTCAAGCTTAGGTCCAAGTAATCTAAATATTTCAATTCAAGCAATGAAGGATTTAGCTTACCGCCCAATCTTGAATCAAAAGTCGGTAAAGGACTGAAATCCTGAAGGAAAAGCTGGTCGTATGGGCTTCTGAGATCAAGCTTCGTGACACGCCCTGTCTTCTTGTTGCAACCAACACCAGACCATTTGCAGCAGTCCTCACCAATCCACGAAGATAACCGGTCGGAAGGATCTGTAAGATCCTTTTTGAACTTGAGAAGTGCTTTCATTTCAATCTCACTGCAACTTTTTGAGAAGTTGCTGGAGTGGGGATGAAGCTCATTAGCTTGGACGGATGTAAATTCAGGTAATAAATGAATGAGAGCGAGAATAACAGTACCAACAAGAGTAATCCTGCTGCCCATATCTGCCTCCATGCCCCCAAAATATCCGCTCAATATCAAGGTAAAGGTATGGTTTAATGAGAGAAAACTAAAGAAACATGGGATGAGAACAAGCAGATGCCTCGGGTGAGTTGCCCAGCTAAGGTGAAGGGTGGAGACTCCTCTTTAAAGCAAGCAAAGTCATCGTTAAGTCAAGGACAACGGCCTTGGCCCAAACTTTTTTGACAAAAGCAGTCGAGTTTTATATGATTATAGATATAGAAATTTGTATGACATGTCAAAATCAGATAAAAATTATTAAATAATTTTTTCTTAAGATGTTTAATAAATCAAGATATCAATTATAATTAAGTTATCATGTTAGTATTTATGAATTTATGTTTTCCATTAATATAATAAGATAAATAATATTAACAGAGGGATTCATCTAAACTCACATGATAATTTTTAATTAGTTTTAATATTTTATTTATAAATGAATGGACACTTGACATATGTCTAAATCATTTATAAAAAAATTTTAATTGCATAATGATTTTTAGTCAGAGTCATTGGAAATTTCCTGTCAAAGTCGACGAAGACTAAATATGATCTCTGTCTGGACAGTGGAAAACTGCCCAAATGCCTTTTTCCTATTTTCCCAACTTGAAAACCCAGGGAACAAGTAACTTAGCCAAAAGCATTTGTTGGACACGTTTTGATTAAATTTAAATGATTAACTTTAATTAACTAGTGACTGATTTTTGGTATAATACTATATTTAAGAAAATTTAAATATATAGATGCTAACTTATTCTCTGGGTTACTTGAGCTGTTGAGTTGGACCCAAAGTTCAGTCCAGTCAATTCCATGTTGACATAGATGCTAACTTATTCTCTGGGTTAGAAAAAGAACTAGGAAATTAAAGTCAATTTGTCCGAAGGGCCTTTTTAACTGGGCAATGCATGCAACATATGAGTTTTCAAGTTTGGAAAGTCTTCCACCGTCCACGTAAAGATCATATTTAGTCTCCGTGGACTTAACAAGAATTTTCCGATGACTTTTAACGCAAAAATCATTATGTAATTAAATTTTTTTTCATAAACAATATAAATACATGTCAAGTGTTTATAAATAAAAAAACAAAATTAATATGATAATCTTTAATTATATATAATTAAAAATTACCATGTGAGTATACATGAGTTTGTTCTTTAATATTATATATCTTGTCAATAACATGGGATGTAGTCAACAGTTAAACTCTAATCAAGCTTTGAAGAACCAAAGAAACGATCAACTTGACCTGCATACAAACGGGATGAAGTCTCTGTTGCTCTTTTTATTACAATTAGTGCGTCTCTAGAGATAAATTTTGGTTCACGATTTTTTTTAATGGAAGAATTTTGGTTTTGTAGAAGAGTTGTAAATAAGTAAAAAGGATGTATTGAAAGTGAAAAAAAAAAAATACTTGAGTGATGTGGCAGATGGTAATGAATAAAGTGTTGAGAATAGGTAAGTGAGATATTACTAAAATGAAAAAATATTTAAGGCATAAGTAAGCATCAGAGTAAGGTAAAGAAATGTTCAAGTAGAAGAGAATCCAAGTGGGAATACTTAGAGAGAAAGAGTGCTAAATCTGAATCTCTATTTGCATCTATCAAAGAAATCTTGTTCTGTACTGGATAAATTGTCAAAGTTCTATTAATAAAGTAAGAAGAAACAGTTACTTAAAGAACATATTTTAATATGCATAATGAGTAACAGCTAGTATAAAAAGTTTTAATGTACGTAATGAATAATAATAATTTATATGACTAATTAAGAGTGGTGGGTTTTCCTAATGGATGGTTATTGATGAAGTGATGAGACTTATTTGTGGGTAACAGGGAAAAGAGAAAAAGCATTTATAGTTTAGGAAAAAGTTAAGGGAAAGATTTTTTAATTTTGTATCTGAATTACTAAATTAAATTCTTCATAATATTTCAAAGTGAAACTAATCCGTGAGCTTTATCAGTTGTTTCGAATTACTTTTATTACTCTATTTATTATTATGCTTACTGCAAAAGAACTTTTAAAAAGATAATAAATTGGTAATGGAAATCAAGTATCCATAAATTTAATGTCAACGGGGCAAAGTTTGCATGGTATGATTCAAGTGCTCTTGTAGGAACAACATTCAAGAGCTTCACTGTTGCGTTTACAGCCTCGACCCTGAATGCTTTTGGAAGACTCTTCTCAAACAACAAGGAAAGATGTTTGGAATCTTCTAAAGCAAAGTTGATGCCAGATGGTTTGGCTAAGCATGGGGCTGATAGGGAGCACACTTTGCTCAAGTCTCTTAACAAAGTTTGAACGTTAACTTAGCATCTGTTCAAGGGATATTTGATCTTGCCTGTGGTTGGGTTAGATTTGGATGGATTTGGTTGGACAATCATTTGGACCTTAAAGGAAATATTACCTTTTGGATCTTTCTCTTTTCTGTGGGTGGCAATCTCTGATCTTTTAGTAGAACCATTGCCTAATTGGCTTGCTTTCTAGTAGAAGCGATGCAGCTGTTTTTAGAGTTAGAGAGTTGGGGATTTTGAGACTTTTATTTACCTTAGGTTCCTTTTCTTTCCTTAGTTTTTTTTTTCAAAACCAAAAAAAAAAAACCCAAAGACTACACATTATATGTGTATGTATGTATTTTACTTATTTGGATAGCATATACCTATTTTAGTTTTTTAAATTATTAAATAAAATTACTCAATAATCAAAATATCTTTAAAATTTATTTTGATTATCAATTTAAATAATTTTGATAACGGGTCAAATTGCTAAATTGATTCGATTCGGTCAATTAATTTGAACCGAATTATATATTATCCTATTTGTATCCTTATATGTAATGTGGTAATTGATTGTTTAGATGAAATTAGACAACTTTAATTTAGTATATTCAATAAAGTCAAATTGGTAAGATATTTTTGAGGTTTTGAACATCAATCAATGATATAGCATATGTATCTCTAATTGTTTTCCCATCAATGGAAAAGTAGTACTTTGTTGTCTTTCACTATAAAGCTTTGTTATTAACATGTAGTACTTCACATTGATTCTCCATCGAAGCTGAGGCATTCTAAACTGTACCATCTAAACTCAAGATAATAATTCGAAAACAATGTACATTGTATTTGTCCCTAAGGACATGCAAGAACCAGGGAGGTTTCCTTGGTACCTTTGTCATTCTTTGTATATGTATGAAGCAAAAGACAAAAAGGAGCAGGAGTAGAGCTCACCTTATTAGCCTAACAATATCCTAAGAAGAATCAATCACAGAATAGATGACTGAGGTCTGAGCTTTCTTTCCCAACCTGTTGACAACAACATTTTCTTGCATATTTTTAGTTGGTATATATAAAAACAAACACTTTTCTTGTAGTTGTAGCTTGGTTTCGGTCATTTCGAGGGATACTAAGTGTAAACCTTGGTACCCTTCTTTAACATAACTAACCTTAAATAACCAATTCCTGCCCTCATGTTCATGCATTTCGACCCCAAAGCCCAAAGGTCTCTAGGAAAGGAAACCATGAATAGGCGGGTGCGGCAAGTTGTCACTGCTCTGAGAGAGCACGGGAGTGTCAGCTGCGCTAAAATTGCCACAATTGCAGGGTTTTGCAATGTTGAGCTTATCATTGTGAAGGCAACAACCCCGGATAGCTTGCCACTGCCTGACAGATATGTCCATGAGCTCTTGAAAATATTCTCCATTTCTCCTAATAGTTGTCGTGCTTTTTCACTTGGTTTCTCCCGCCGTTTCGGAAAGACTAGAAGCTGGCGAGTTGCACTGAAGTGCTTACTCCTTCTACACCGGCTGCTTAGATCATTGCCTGAAGATAGCCCCTTTCGATCAGAAATGCTGTGGAATCGGTCATATGGTTTTATCTCTTTATACCCTTGTCGTTTCCAGGATGCTTCCTCATCCGCTCCCGAGAGTTACACCACGTTTATCAGATCATATGCACATTTGCTAGAGGAGTCTCTTGGTCGCTTCTCGTTTGATGGTAATCTAATTTACAATGAAGATTTGGAGAAGACGGAAAGTTTACCAGAAAAAATGAAAGAAATTGCAAGGATGCTTGAGATTTTGCCACAGCTTCAAAGCCTGATTGATCGAGTTATGGATTGTAGACCAACCGGGGCTGCGGCCAAGAGCTTTCTGATCCAGTCAGCAATGAAATACATCATTCGAGACAGCTTCATCTGTTACACCATATTTAGAAGGGACGTTGTTTTGCTGTTGGACAATCTCTTTCAAATGCCATACAGGAGTTGCATAGCAGCTTTTGGGATATACAAGAAAGCAGCTCTGCAAGCAAACCAGCTGTGGGAGTTCTATGACTGGTGTAGACTTATGGGATTTTGTGGGCGTCATGAGTATCCCTTTGTGGATCGGATCCCACAGATACAAATTCAGGCTCTTGAGACTTTCATCAACGGAATGTGGCAGCTAACATCACCATCATCACCGACGACATCACCATCATCATCAGTTATGGATTCGAGGTCAAGTGCAACAGAAGATGACAGAGACAAACAACTGGTTGTGGTCGGTACTTTTAAGGATAAATTCGAGGACAGTTGTCTTCCTGAAAAGTTTGATGGAGATGAGGACAGGGAACCATTGATTCAGCTAGATGACGATGAAACTGATAGCTGGGAGGATATATTGGAAGCTTCAGTGAATCTCTCTGGTGTTCAGGGAAACAACTTGCTTTTATACAATAAGGGATTCAACTACAGCAATGGAAGTGACAAGGATGAATGGAAGATACAAGTGTACAATCCTAGTGCACCTAATCCTTTTCAGCAGCCTCCCGGCATGCAAATTAGTTATGCACAATATGCAAGCAGCGACCCAAAGTGTCCCTGGCCACTGTGATGCATGCCAGAGTTTAGATTTCTAAGTGTCAATTTCCTTCATTAATGTTTTTTTGAAGGGGATTTTTCCA